GCACTTCAAGAATTGGTTGTGAAATAGTCAAAAAAAAGACCGGATCAAACAGGAAAGAAATTAACCATAAATGGCCGCTTCGGAGTTCGTGACACCGACCAAACTTGGCTTATGAGGTGCTTCTTTTAAAAGTTGCTCCAACGGTTTCGGGAAGAAACTCTCATCGAAATGTGGATGAAATTTGATACCACTTTCGATGGCACGTCCTGGTCCCTAAATATTACAGAAGCTGTTCACGATGTTCTGTGACTGCAAACTCATTATCAGTAAAACAAACGAACGTATGAAATCGCTTGTGTAATATTCTATTACCTTTTACTTTGAAAAGAAAAATGAAATAAGTGAATTACTAGAAAAAATGAAATAAGTAGTGAGTGTAACAGAACAAGTATATGGTAAACGATCTAAAAAGCTGAGCATCGAACTGACAATTTTATCGACTCCATTGAACAATTCAACGATTGATTTCTGTTTCATGCATTCTTTGGAAAGTTTAGAATGTTCCTTATGGCATCCAACCGCTCGAATCAAATCAAGGCTATCGTCCACAGTAGTTTCACTTCTTGCGAACTCATTAAACGGTGAACCACTTAAACTGATTGTTTGCTGGAATAGATCTGAAAAGATTCATTAATGTGGAAGGGAATTCCATTGTTAAATGCTCATGTGAACGTCCTTTGATGCGATCTCATATCGTTGATAATTGAAGCGATGCTCTTCACTTAATACCTCGGACAATTCATATCTAACGAGCTTTGAACTTTATTGGTGAATCAGGGAAAAACTTTGAGAGCGGGCTTGGTCAGACCGTGGGCGTATTACTGTAATTTGTGGGCGTGGTTTAAGCGTAGGCGCACTATCCTAATTTGTGGGCATACTACCGTAATCTGTGGGTGTGGCCTAATCGTAGACGTACTGCCGTAATTTGTGGGCGTGGCTAGTTACCGTAGTTAAGCGGGCCCATTGGTCTTTCAGGAGTCTGATAAGTTGAGTGAATAGATGGAAATTGCGGGCGCGAAAATCGACCGAAAATATTGTTTCTCTTAGTTGGGTTCCTGCAGTTAAGATCTGATTGATCAATGGAGAGACTGACCAGGGAGATAGTACGATGAAACAATCCGGTGGAAATTAACTGTCGATTAAAGGAATTGACTGCATGAATGTCTGTTCANGCTCCTCCAGCACTATGACCCATAATGGTGATCCGTTCTGGATCACCACCGAACGCAGCGATATTTTCCTTGATATAGGTCAGTGCCTGAACTTGATCCCAGAGCCCCGCATTTCCGGGCATCGCATTATCACCAGTTGTCAAAAATCCTGAACATTTTATGATTTTATCATTTTCATCACAATTATTACTATTCACACTTCTGTTAATAAAGTGTCGCAGAGTTAACGGTTTCTCAGCGGGCATCTGTAAAGTTTTCTGGTCGCTCGTCACTATGAAGGGCTAATCGTCACTTAATGTCTTGAAAGATACTGTCAAGGGATGCCAAATATCAGTGATTTTTGAAACATTAGCTGAAGTTAAGTGGTTATGCATGATAACAGCGATAAACTGAGTGACTGAACAGAACTCACCGAGGAATCCAACACGATAGTTGAACGTAACAAAGACAATTCCTCGACTAACAAAAGTATCGCAAAGATTCTTGTAATCAAAACTTGCTGAACTTCCAATCTCAAATCCACCGCCATGAATATACACTATGACCGGATAACCATCCTCTTCGGCACTCTGAAATACGAGGCATTGCTATTTGAAATGAGTTACTCGACACAACTTGGAGGTTGATCAATGAAGAAATGAAATATTCAACCAGTGCAAAGTGAATTTGTCCTGTGTACATATATATTCCGCCGGATGTGAACATAGGCATAAAACATTCACTGAATTACACCGTCATGCACTCTTTGGAACGTTTGGGATGTTCTTTATGGCATTCAACTGCCTAACTCAAAGCTATCATCTTATCGTCAGAAGCCGTTCTCATGATTACTAATTAATTGCAGACCGAATTTCATTTTTAGATCATAATGATCACTTGATTATAACCATTATCATCTTCTGAATATCAGCATAGTACTATTGTTCCGAAGATATAGTTCATTCAAAAATATGATGTTGAAAGCAAAACGAGATGAAGTAATCGACCTTGCGGAGTGGTGCCATAACATTCAACGATAGACAGATCTCGCTGTATTGCAAATCCCTGGTGAGGGCATTTTTGTCGTGCGGAAAACACGATGGACCGAATGTTTTCATCTTCTCAGTACCTTTCCATGGTCGAATTGAACGAGTTGGCTGAAACTAACTCCAGTTACAAGTTGGACGTCGAGAATATTGCTTATTAAGAGTCTTTCGTGGAGATCATTAAGTGTTTTTGTGGTTCCATTGAGTATTTTGCTTACTATTAATAATTGTAAGTGTTTTCGATTCTCCAAGCAAATTGCAACTTTATGTTTGATTTACAATTTCGTATTTCGTGTAGCTATCATTTTATGATATAACGCCATTGTGATGGCGTTTTTTAACTCGGTTTGATAGGGTTTTCATTCTTTTCCGTGCTGTCACAATCGCTCTCATAGCTTTTATCACCA